CTGTTACGTCGGCCTCTGCGCCGTCGTAACCAATTATCTCGCCCTGTGCCCCAGCCGCGCCCGCCCCGCTTCTCGGATCTGTCCCTGGAGCCGATCATCAAAAAAGTATACCCACCAGCCCATCCAGAACCGATCAGCAGGGGAGTTGGTGAATCAGGGGCGGCAGAATGCATGCAGTCGCGCAGCCGTCTTCGAGAACACAAGCATCACGCATAGCTTCCCGCGTTGAAGCTTAAGATGGAAACCCGTGCAAATTACGATGGTGTTTCGATGAGAGGTGAGGGGTATTTCGATGACTCGTAATGGCTGTTGCACTGATTTGAATCCAAATCTCGCGTGCATTCCGAAACTTGGAGGCATCTTGGGGCCCTCTTGGGATTCTCTTGGGCCCCTCTTGGGGCCTCCTGGGGCTCTTTCTTGGGGTCTTCTGAGGTCCTGTTAGGGCCTTCTTGGGGTTTCTTGGGGCTCTTTTGGGTCCTTCTTGGGGCCCTCTTGGGGCTCTTTTGGGGGGTCTTGGGGCCCTCTTGGGGCTCTTTGGGGGGGTTTTGGGGGGCCTCTCAGGGCCGTCTTGGTCCTTATGGCTAAAGAAGGGGGAGGGGGGGGCAATTCTTGCCCCCCCCCTTCGGAGGCTCAAAAATGCCGTCTTGGGACCCTCTTGGCCCGCTCTTGGAGCGCTCTTGGGCGCTCTTGTGGCCGTCTTGGGGCTCTCTTGGACCCCTCTTGGGGCTCTTTTGGGCCATCTTGGGGCCATCTTGAGGCCTCAAGAGCCCTTCGGAGGCGAAGAAGCGAAAAGGCAAACAAACATGTATTGTCCTTAGGTCTTTGAAGGATTTTGGCCTCTTGATAGGGGGTCCTTGGAGGCCTTGGAGGGCACTTGAAACCGTCTTGGGGCCGTCTTGAGGTCTCTTGGACGCGTGTCGGAGGCTATCTTGACCCGTCTACCGCTATCTTGGGCCATCTTGGAGGCCATCTTGCGCTCTCGGAGGCCCTCTTGGAGCCATCTTGGGCCATCTTGGACGCTGCTATGGGTCCGTCCCCCCCGTCCAAACGCAGGGAGGGGGGTGGGGGGTAAACCTCCCGAGCAGGGAAAGGCAGGAGGTTGGAAAGGGACACGCCTTAGACCACTTGCGCCCAGAGGGCTGGTGGGAATTCATGAATTTCGCCTCTTGGGGCTCTCGTGGGAAAGCTCCTGGAGGCCTGTTGGGGCGGTTTGCAGGCCTCTTGGGCCGTCTGGAGGCCGTCAAGGCGTCTTGGAAAGATCGTTTGGCGATTCGGGGTTCTCTTGGACTGTCTTTCGGGCCTCTTGGGGCACTCTTGGCCCGTCTTGGTACTTTTCTGGGCTCCGGGACTTTGAGGGGTATTTGACTCCACTACCCCCGGGACCCACCCACCCCACCCCCTCCGGCGGGGGAGGGATCGAAGGGAAGGGGCTTCCCTTCGACTCAATTACGACGTTGCTCAACTTTGCTTTTGGCTGGCGCGCTGAGGAGGTCCCCCGGAAAGGGGGGAGATTCGACGAGCCCAGGGAAAGGGGGGAGGCAGGGAAAGGGGACGACAGAGACGACGACGAACGAATGACGGAGATGACGACTTGAACGGACAAGCCACTCACACACGCCGACAGGGTCGGCGGATTTGTGCGTGTATTTATTTAATCGCTTCGCTCATTCCGCCGGCCCTGGAGCGCTATTGGGGCCTCTTGGGGCCGTCTTGGGGGCTTCTTGGGGGCTTCTTGGGAGCGTCTTGGGGCTCCTTGGCGGCGTATTGGGCTCCCCTGGGACCTCTTGGGGGGCTCTTGGGTGCCCCTTGGGGCGGGAGGGGGGTTAGTCGTTGGCCCCCCCCCCTCGGAGGCCACGATCCTCGTGAGGGGTGGCGAAAAATAGCTTCCCCCCTGGGGATCGCCCAGGGATCGGCCGGGGTACTTTTCGTCCCGGGCCTCCCAGGGGCCGCCCCGCGCGCTCGAACTAGAAATATTGTTAAGTAGTTACCGGAGATCTTGGCACGCCTCTGGCCCGTTGGGCCGGCGAATTTGTGTGTCCCAGAGCCCCTTCAGAATAATTGGTCTCAGGAGGAGGCCCGAGAGTCCAGGACCCTTCTCTGTCAGGACTCGTTTCTCCAGCGCGGCACAGCACGCTGAGAGGGCGGGGGGGTCTCGAGGGGAGCGGGTCCCAGTCCCTCGGGGCTCCTCCCCCAAGACCTGCTCTCTCCCTCTGGGGTCGTTTCTCCACGTTCCTGGGGCCCGTGGACGGCCAAGGAGCCGGCGCTCTGCGAGTCATTTCCAGGGCCCCCCTGCCTCCAGGACCCGTGTCCTTCGTGCTGAAGTGCTGAGCTGATTCATCAGCAGAGGATTCAAGGGCGCCTTCGAGGGCGCGAAGTGATCGGCGCCTGGCGCTTCGCGGTTCGGCTCCGATTCCTCCTCCTCCTCCTCCTCTTCTCCGCTTGGGGGGCGGCGCAAGAGCGCGAAGTGTTCCGCGCTTCGCGCTTTGCGCGGCGCGAAGCGCGAGGTTGGGCGCCAGTCCGGACGGGGGACCATGGCCGATCGCAACCACTTCGTGCCGACCGTCGACCACTTGGGACTGATCGCTACCGGTTGTGATCGGACCCGAAGGTTGCGATGCTTTCGAGGAGTTGTAGTATTGTTTTGATTATTAATCAAGAGTAGGAGGAGTTGTAGTATCTCAAGAGCACTTCTGGATGCAGTGAGTTCCATTAGATGCCCCAGAGGAAGTTCGAAGCGGTATAATGTATGTGGTGCAAGCTATGTGGTGCCATTTTTGTGGTGCGTAATCTATGTGGGGCGCAAGTTCTAGGGGTTGTATCGACGTTGTGCAATCCAAGTGGTGCAAGATGCGTTGAGTTATCTACGTGGTGCAATATAGGTGGTGCAATCTATGTGGTGCAATTGTTTTTTACAAACGAGTTGGCAAATTCCATGCTCTTGCAAACATCCCACCCACCCACCAGCAACTTGGTTTGCAAAACCCATGCGGCGACGATTGCGACAGGTGATTGGCGTTGGCTGCTGCATCTCTGCGGCCGTGCTAGCCCGCGCATGCTCGTGCGCACAGCGGCCAGCTAGTTTGGCGCGGCCGACGCGGCCGCGGTGACGCTGACCGCTAGGCACCTCCCACCGGGCATGTCAGTGCGAATCGATGACTTGGGCGGGCAATGTATCATGGCGACGCCGACAACGGTAGGCACGGTTATGAGAGTAGCGATAGTGACGAAGGTGGCGATGACGACGGTAAGGCCAATGACGGCGCCGATGTTGATCACGCCCGCCAGTAACGATGACGATGTCGTCGCGTCGGCGATGAAGGTTTTTGAGGAGTTCGACATGCGCACGGCCGACGCGCGTGATTGGTCCGCGTGGTATGATTTGAAATGGATCGTGCTCCCCTCAGCACGCGCGCAAGTGCGTTCGAATGAGTTCGTCATGCGGCGATAGAGGCTCGCTTGGCAAAATTTGATGAACAGGTTGGATATACGATGGTTTTCTCAGGAATCCGCACCAGCGCGAGCGCAGGATTTTTTTTCAAAACGGATGTTGCAACGCCGTGTGTTTTTTTTTTGGGGGGGGGGCGCTCGATTTTGAAATCGTTACGACACCGAAGTTTGCTTGATGGATTCCGCCATGCGCGCGCGACCACCCGCCCGTGCGCGTCTCGTCACATATCTTTCAAATGTTTATTGCGACAGCACGCGCAAGGGCGCGCGCACGATTTCGACACGCGTGCGAGAGACCAATTCGGAAACAGTTTATGAACATGGTGAATATTCGATGGTTGTCTTAAGAACTCGCACGAGCGCGGGCACTAACTTGGGTTTGAACGTTCTTGCTGTAAAACCATTTGTTTGTTACATGGTTTCGTGACTTTCGATTTTGAAATCCTTACGGAACCGAAGGCTTTTCAGGGATTTCGGCATGCGCTCGCGACGACCCTCGCGTGTGCATTGCGTCCTGTGTTTTACGAGGGAGTTTTAAACAGTGGTGGTCTTTGACAAGCGGGAGTGCGCGCATAGTATTTGCTGGAGGGGGTTTCGGGCATCCCTGTCTGGCTGGGATGGTATGAGCCCAAACGTTGGTGGACGATGGGGCAGATTCATATGTAAAATGCAGTAGGAAAAAAGGTGGACCTTTAATTTCGGGGGAGGTCACATTTTATATGTTTACAGGAGGGTCGATGCTATGCAATGTCTTGGTGCGTTATGTATTGTGCAGTGTATATATATAGATGTATCTCGTGCAATCGATTGGGCGCAATTACTTCCTGTTCGCAGTGACTTGTCAACTCCACTGCTCGCGCAATCATCCCGTCTACCCGCCCCAAACCTGGTTTGCATACGCTCATGCGGCGGCGATTGCGATGAGTGCTTGGGGTTGGCTGGTGCATGGCTGCGGCCGCCTAGCCCGCGAACGCTCGTGCGCAGAAAGGCCTGCTGGTTTGGTGCGACCGCCGCGGCCGCGGTGGCGCTGACCTATGGGCAGTTCCCAGACGGCACTCTGGTACAATGGCGCTGAGTCGTTCTCACGAAGGCCTCCAGGGAGGTTAATCTGCTGCAGCGGGCTAGATCGGCCTGACTCGGGTTTTGTCGTCCTGCATCGCCCTGGGCAGCCCTGAGCCAAGCTTATCATCGCGCTTGAATTGGCCTCCTTTGTTTTCATCGGGTCCCATCGCCCTGAACCGCCTCGATGCTCCCCTACAAAAAACGAACACACACACAAATCACGAAGACCTCCTAAGAGCTGCCTCCTAACCCCCGCGCAGGAGGCGGCGCACCTGCTGCGGCGGCGCGCCGAGCTGGACGACTGCAACGCGGGCGTGATCGTGGACGGCCTCTGCAGTGAGCACCTGGACGCCGGCCAGGTGCGGGCCGTCCTCGCCGCGCCTGCCCTGGCAGAGACCCTCGCAGCCCCGACGTCCTCTCTCTCGCCGCGAGCTTCGATCCCCCTCGATCCTCGATCCCTTCCTCTTCCTCCCTCCCCCCTCCCCTCCCTTCCCCGCTCCCCTCCTCCCCCCGGTGGGTTCGTTGGGGGCACGAGTGGAGCCGCAGGTGGCCGTCCCCGGGGGGGCGGCCCAGGGCTGCTTCACCTGCGTTCCAGCACGGCGCCATGGACTGCGCTGCCCATTGCGCATGTCTCATTCTTCGATTTTTTTGATATTTGGGGGGACAGGATCCTTGCATTTCCAACTGTTCTATCCTGGGCCTCTTCCGGGCCGCTAGGGGGCCAGGAACAAAATTAGAAACGAGCACAATTAGAAATGAGCACGATTAGAAATGAACGACGTGTAGAACCCGAGCGCGCGCGAAGCGCGCGCGGCCTCCCATTGTGAACACATTTCGACGGACTCAGTTTGGAGGCACTTTGGGCTCTACGCTGCGGGAAGGCTTCTCGTCGCGTCGGCTGGATTCGCCTCAGAGTTCGGATCAACACATATCCAGAGGTGTGTCGGGGGGGTCGAGTTTGGACCCCCGGGCCATACCCCATTACGTCGTGAAGCGGTCACGTACGACGGACGCTTTTCTTTCCTGTTACTTTCAGCCTCCAGGGGCCTTTGCCGGGCCTGGGGACCGACTCACGATGAAAATCCAGTCTTGGGGAATTGAAGGGGTCCAGACCTCTGGGGAGCCACGTTGTGAAACTTAACACGACGTCGGATGTCTGAGGACGTACGCTGTCGATCCTCGCGCTGATCGCGCGCCGCGTCCAGTTCACCGCACCTCGGCGCGAGCCGCCGACCATGCCTCCATCTCCAAGCGCCGACGTCCCCGGCCTTTCACCGCCTTCCGCCACGCGGAGAGGAGCGACACGCCACCTGCTCGCAAGGCTTAGCGTGTCGCCGGGGCCGCCGCCGCGACGCTCGGAGAGCAGACGTTCCGGACCCTCGCCCCGTGCGTGCTTGCCTTGTCCAGCTCCACCATGCAGCCTGCGCCGGCCCTCGTTGCAGCGCCCCAGTCGCATCGAGGGGCCCTGGTGGGCAGGCGCACGCTGGCGCGAGCACCCTTTCGGAGGGTCGTCGATCCTTTCGGGCGGTGCCCGGGCGGGGTCACCACCAGGGCCAGACGGGGTCACCGCCGTCCTCTGGAGGGCGAGGATCGGAGAGGAGGGAGGGCCGAGTCTTTCTTCGGACGTCTCTGGGGCGCACCTGGTGTGGCACGCTCGCCCGGGGGTCGACCTCAACGTTGTTCGGGCGATCCCTTGGGCCGTTCTCGTCTCGGCTTCGTTTTGCAGCAGAGGCGGACGGAGCGCAGGGCGAGGGAGAGCGAGACCGAAACGGCAGCGAAGAACTCTGTCCGGGTCGGTCCCCGTGGGGCGCATCCGGTGTGCTGCGCTCGCCTCTCCCTGTCCTTCCTCTCTTCGCCCCCACGGCTCTGCCCTGTCCGCTGCCCCCCCTGCGCACTGCTTCTGCCTCCCCTCCTCGGGCATTTGGCCTCGCTCGGACGTGTGCACTTCTGGTCTTCGGCAAGGACCAGCGAGAACCATCCTGGATCATCGGGCCAAGGAAAAGCATGCACGAGATCGAGACGTGCACGGGGAATGGGCTTCCGGGCGATGGCGAGGGTCACGACGCAATTCCTGGGAGGTCAAAAATCAGCATCGGCGCTGGTATACAATCAGTGCGGCCGCGCGTCAGGAGGCCGAGTGCCTTTGGTCAGGGTGCCCTGGGCTTATTCGCTCCGCGCGCGCTGCGCGGTGACTCCCGGCAGCCATGGAAGGAGTTGCTCTTGGGGCCCAAGAAATGGAGGTACAACAAAGGGGGCATAGAGAACGCCGCTTTCCACGTTTGGCTATGCCTCCGTTGAGTGGGGCCTGGGCGCCGTAGACGGGGGCACAGTAAACGGGGGCATATGGAAAAGCCTAAGCCCCTGTTTAGCTAAACCCCCGTTTACGAAGCCCCGATGCTCGTCCATGGTGCTTTGGGTCCCCTCCACTTGCATCTCGCGCTGGTGGGCTTTCACGGCTGGGCTTCTTCCGCGAAGACCTGCAAGTTGCCTCCTGACTCAGGGGAGGGCGGCTCCCTTGCCTCCCGGTGCGGCCAGTCTTGGTGGAGGCTTCACGGGCCGTCTCGGACTTCAGAACCCCCGAGGTGATGGTTGATGAGCCTGTTTTCCACCACCACCACCACCACCACCATACGTTGGAGGGGGGTACGGAGGAGCAGGGCGAGGCGGAGGAGGACGAAGGAGGAGGAGGAGGAGGAGAAGGAGGAGGAGGCGGATGAGGACCCCCCCTCCAACTTATGGTTGTGGTGATGGTGGAAAACACGCCCATCAATGGCGAGGCCTCTGGAGGCTCTCTTGTGGGTCTTCTTGGGCCTTTTTGGGGGGAGTCTTCCAGGCCTCTCGGGCCGTCCTGCGGTCATCTGGGAAGCTCTGGAAGCAACTCCGGCGGCCCTCCTGTCTCCTCCCCCAGTGCGCCGTCGGAGGCCTCTCTCTCTCTCCCTTGCGTTGAGTCGGGCCTGACCCTGTACAGGAGGAATATTCACAAGTAGACAAAAACAGCCTGGGGTCGATCTATCTATGATGTTTCTTTTATCGTTTTTGAATATTGTATGACTATTTCGAATGTGTCCTTCCAAAAAAACGCCTGCAGGGGGACATTCCCGACCTAACTCTTGCGGGCCAGCGCGCGCGCCCGCGAGAGAGAGGGTGGGGGGCCGCCCCCCTCGAGGGTGTCAGGGCGGCGCGCCGGCAGCTCCACGCTGCGTCCGCCGCCGCCTCCCCCCTTCAGCTTTGCCGTCGTGGGCCGTCTCGAGAATGGAATCCAATTATCGGAGGTGGATAGACCTCCTACCCTGACACGTCGACTAAGGAATTGGCCGTTTTCGGTTCGCAGGAGGGCGTCGCGGCCGTCATTTTTGCGGGTCCAGGTCCGTCGGTTTCGGTCCCAGGCCGTTTTAATTAAGGGGAGATTTACTAAAGCGAGGTTTGTCCATCGCCGAGCTTTTGCCGTCGTGGACCGTCTCGAGAATGGATCCAGTTGACGAGAGCTGAACGGACGACGAGTTGTTTCCGAAGCCCAGCCTGAAACGAACTGTACAGTACAGCAGACAGAGACCGTGCTCTGCCGTGACCTTGGGATCCGTGAGCGCCGCTGAGAGCCGTCTCTCTCTCTCTCTCTCTCTGGCTCTCTCAGGAGAAGAGAAGGCGGCATGATTTTGCGTCCAGCGCTCCAGACCTTCAGGAGGAAAAGAAACACACAGACACAATTTATCCTCGATTCCCCAGAAAATATAGGAACATGTGGGAAGTGGGGGGGAAGACAGTAACCCAGAAGATATGGGAAAATATGGGGAATCTTTCTATTTGTGTGTATTGTTTTGTGTATCCCGGGGCCCCTTCAGACCTGAGGCCGCGAGGCGGGATCCCCGGGCAGCACCTGCACCCATGGGGCCCGGCGGCCGCGGCGTGCAGGCGTCACCCGTCCGAGACACGAAGCGGGATCCCCAGGGAGCACTGGCACCTTCGGGGCCTGGCGGCCGCAGTGATTTATGCCGGGTGCGCGGGGCGGATCGGGAGCTTTTTTTTGGTTGGGGGGTCAACAAACATCCAACAGCTCCAACCTGTCGGGTTGGGGACAAACTGTATGCTCTTGAATTCAATAAAAGGGGGGTGGTCTGATTTGGGAAGGGGCATGTTCTGAGCTGTCCTGGAGGGTCCCACCGGGCCTGGGCAACAGGGGCCGCCCTTCTTGTGTGTTCCAAGCTTCCCCTCCCGTCTGGGGAGGCTCGCGACCCCTTTTCCCTTTGAATGCGAAACCAGGGGCAAACGTTGACTTTCGGAGCTCCGCGTGGATTGCCGGCAGCGCCTTTTCGGCAGCGCCTCCAACGCCGCTCCTCGCGCGCGGGGCGCGCCAGGAGCGGCGCCGGAGCGCGGTGATGCTTGTGGGGCGGTCTCTGTTCCTCTCACTCGGCGGCGGCATGCGAGTCCTACCTCTGAGGGGGGAGAGCTACCCATACGGCGGTCTTTGTTCCTCTCACTCGGCGGCGACGTGCGAGTCCTACCTCTGAGGAGGGCAAGCTACCCCTACCGCGACCGTCGCCCCGTTTGGGCCTTTCTGGGGCCTCCCCGGACGCCCTCGTCGCCACTGCTGGATTCGCCTCGAAATCCCGGTCAGAGCGCACCCGGGGAGAGGTCCCGGTAGTAGCGGTATCGGTACCTTCTGGTTTCCTCACTACCCTTGTCGATCTACGGTTCAGGCAACTCGATGGGCGGGGGGGTAGGGTTCAGAGCTCGTCGAACACGTGGCGAACCCCGAACCCTACCCCTACCTTCTATCGATTCAGGAGAATCGCTGGTTGGCAGGGTCCGGGCGTTGCCACTTACTAGTGGAGTCCTTCGGTCGCAAATCACGGGAGCCTGGCATACCCTCTGAAATCCGTCTTTAGCGTCGACTAGCGTCGATTAGCGTCTCGGAGTCGTTGAGATAGCGCCGATCTAGCGTCGGTTAGCGTCGATCCCGCGTCGATGAGAGTCGGTTAGCGTTGATTAGGCGTCGGTTCGCAAGAGCCGACAAGATGGTATGGGAGGCTCCCATGAGTTGCCACCGAACCATCAGTTGCGAATCCGGGAAGCCCTCTCCCTGGCGGTGGCGGGCGGTGGCGGAGGCGGCGCCGCTGCGCCACCGTAGTTGTCGCCGCCCTCGTCGTCGGCGCCCTCGTCGTCCGCGCCGTCGCCGTCGCCGTCGCCGCCGTCGCCGTCGCCGTCGCCGTCGCCGTCGCCGTCGCCGTCGCCGTCGCCGTCGCCGTCGCCGTCGCCGTCGTTCGTTGTTCGTCGTCGTCGTCGGCTGCGGCGGCGGCGCCGTCGGCGGCGGCGGCGGCGGCGGCGGGGCTCGACGCCCTCGGCGGGGCGCAGGGCGGGTCCCTCCCTCGGCTGCCTGCCCCATTGGGGGCAGCCCGGGCCACGCCCGGCGGGCTCGCTGGCGTGCCGCTGCGGCGGCGCTCTGGGCGCGGGCGTTCGAAGTTCAGGAAGGGGAAGAAAGCACACAGACACAAATGAATCGTCGACTCCCAGGAAAATTTGGGAAAATATGGGAGGTGGGGGGGGGAAGACGAGAATCCAGAACATACTGGGAAATCTGGGGAATCCCGTTATTTGTGTGTATTTATTTGCGTGTCCCAGGGCCCCCTTCACAAAGTTGAACGCCACCGTTGACCCAGAATCGGCCAATAGGGAATGGTTCGGCGATCGAAAAAAAGCCGTCGATCGTTCGAGGAGGAACGATCCACGTTGTTCCATGTGCCGTCTTCCCTGCGCTCCGCCTTCCCCTACCCCTCCTCCTCCTCCTCCCCTCCCTCAACTCCCTCCCTCCACTCCGTCCCTCCCTCCACTCCCTCCACTGCCTCGGCTCCCTCCCGCCCTGCTCCCCCTCCCTCCACTCCCCTCCCTCCCCTCCCTCCCTCCCTCCCTCCCCTCCCTCCCTCTCTCCCTCCCTCCCCTCCCTCCCTCCCTCTCCTCCGATCCGACGCAGCGAAACGTTGCGACGTCGGGAAGATCGCGACCGGAGCCCCGGTCCCCCCTCCTGCGGCGCGTATGTGCCGAGCAGAGGGGTTCGAGCGGTGAGGGTCCCATGGGGCCCGCAGCCGGGCGTCAAACGAACGCCAGGCCTGACAAGCACAGGATCTCATGCTGTGAAAGAGCGTGTTCTACCGCTGCTGGCGGAAAACCGGGGGGGGGTCACTACCGGTTCGAACCCCTCCCCCCCCCCCCCCCTCCGAAAACCGGGGGGGTCACTACCGGTTCGAAAATGGGGGGGGGGGGTCACTACCCGGTTCGAACCCCCCCCCCCCCTCGAAAACCGAGTGGGGGTGCGGACAGAGGTGGGGACGGTGTTGGTGGGACAGTGGTGAGGGGACAGCGGGACAGTGGTGGGGACAGTGGGACAGTGGGACAGTAGAGGGCCGGAGTGGTGGGGACAGTGGTGGGGACAATGGTGGGAACAGGGGGGACAGTGGACAGTGGTGGGGACGGTGGTGGTGGGGACAGTGGTGTGGGCACAGTGGGAATGAGGTGGAAACAGTGGGACAGTGGAGGGTACAATGGTGGTGGGGACAGTGGTGAAGGCGGTGGCGAGGACGGCGGTGGGACAATGGGACAGAGGTACAGTGGGGACAGTGGTGGGGACAGTGGGGACAGTGGTGGGAACAGTGGGACAGCTCAGTGGGACAGCGGCGGAGTCAGTGGGACAGTGGGGACAGTGGGGATAGTCGGGCAGTGGTTGGGGCCGTGGAGACAGTGGGGAGAGTGGAACCGTGGTGGGAACAGTGGTGGGGACAGTGGGGACAGTGCGACAGTGGTGGGGGCACTGGTGGGGACACAGTGGGGACAGTGGTGGTGAGGACAGTGGTGCTGGGAACAACAGTGGAGGATGTGATGCGGACGGTGGTAGGGACCGGGAGTCGTTTGCTGGCGGTGAGTGGGGGGGTGGGGAGGGGTTCGAACGGCGGTAGTGATCCCCCTCCGGTTTTCGAGGGGGGGGGGGGTTCGAACCGGTAGTGACCCCCCGCGGTTTTCCGGATCCGGAGGGGGGGGGGGGGGGGAGGGGTTCGAACGGTTAGTGACCCCCCCGGTTTTCGAGGGGGGAGGGGGGGGGGGGGGGGGGGTAGGGGTGGGGGGGGGTTTGCCGGGGGAGGGGGGGGGGGGGTCCAGCACGGGGGGGGGATTTTCGGAGGGGGGGGGGGGGCGACCCCCGGGTTCCGGAGGAAAAGGTTGGCAGTTTTCCACAGTCAAGCGGCGGTGGATCACGCTCTCTCCATGCTGTGGATGCCATGGCGATGGACACTCTAACAATCCGATCATTGAATCAAATACCTATGTGTTCAATGTGCTCAAAACATGAGATGTTCGACAAATATTTGAACATGTGCTCTGCATGTTGAAAGCATGGTTGAGGCACTTCTTAGACATCTTGAAGGCCGCATGCTTCCTCTCCACTGGTCGACTTCCACAGATCTCAGGGTCCCTCCGCCTTCCCTCCCCTCTGCTGCTCCCTCCCTGCTCTTCCGCCCTTCTTCGCCCTCGCCTCCATCCTCCCTCTCTACACTCCTGCGTCCTCCGTCCTTCATCCCCATACGTCTCCCTCCCTCCCTCCCTCCCTCCTCCCTCCTTCCATCCTCGCTCCCTCCCTCCCTCCTCCCTCCCTCCTCCCTCCCTCCCTCCCTCCCTTCCTCCAGCCCTCCCTCCCTCCAGCCCTCCCTCCCTCCCTCCGTCCTTCTGCGCCCTCCCCTCGTCGCATGGGTCGGGCGCCCGGGCTCGCGCGAAGGTCGTGGAGGCGGTCCTGGAGGCGTTCCGGGGCCAGAGGACCGTCGTGATGGCCACGCGGCTGCCGCCCGCCGTTGCCAAGGACCCACCCTGCGACCAGATCTCGAGATGCTGGGCCTGTTTCCCACCACCACCACAACTAGGAGGGGGAGGGGGTCCTCCTCCTCCTCCTCCTCCTCCTCCTCTCCTCCTCCTCCACTTCCTTCCCCTTACACTTATGGTGGTGGTGGTGGTGGTGGTGGAAAACAGGCCCATCACGAGATCTGGGCGTCGCCGTTTTTTTTTGTTGCTGCTCACACCGGGGGCTCTCGCGCGGCCTCGGTCGGGCCCTGGGGCCCTCACGTATCGGTCTGGCTCGAAGAGTGCCGCGGGCAGAGATGGAGCCTGGGGCCCCGGCCGTGGTCTCAGGGGCCCCCCTCGCTCTGAGACAGAACTCACAGCTGAGGGTGGGCGACTTTCGGGCTCTGGGGGGCCTCGCCAGATGACCGGGCTCGGGATGAGAGTCCGGGCCAAGGGAAGGGGTCGGGACCTTCGCGGGTCCACGTTGTGGAGTTATCCAGGCGAAGGACCGAGCCATGTGCAGCTGCGAGCGTCGCGAGGCAAGGGAGACGAAGGATGGGCTCCACGAGACGTATGAGGGGCGTGCCGAAGCGGGTGCGAGGGTGCGGCGGCGCCATGCAAGCTCTCCCGCTGGGGCCGTCGAGTGGAGCTCTCACATGAGGCCACGAAACGTGTGAGAGGCCTGATAGGTGCGGCAGCGCCATGCGAACCCTTCTACTGGGGTCTTCGGTGGAGCTCCCATATGGGGTCACGAAAGGTGTGAGGGGTGTGCCGAGAGGGCCGCGGCGGCGCCATGCAAACTCTCCCGCCGGGGACTTCGATGGAGCTCCCATATGGGGCCACGACGCGTGTGGAGGGTGCGCCGGGATGAGAGCGGCGGTACCCTCCCACTGGGCCTGCGGTGGAGCTATGTATAGTGCCACGGAACGTGTGAGGGCTGTGCCGACATCTGATTCATGATGGTGACACTGCTGATGCTGTGTACAGCTGATGCCGCTGCTAGTGACGATGATGATGACGATCGTGATGCCGGTGATCTAGATGATGATGATGATGATGATGATGATGATGATGATGACGATGATGATGATGATGATGATGATGATGATGATGCTGATGATGATGATGATGATGATGATGATGATGATGATGATGATGGTGGTGGTGGTGGTGGTGGTGGTGATGATGATCGTGGTGATGATGATGGTGTTGGTGATCATGATGACGATGGCGATGAGGATGACGATGACGGTGACGATGGTGGTGATACTGCTGATGACACGGTGATGGTGATGATGATGCTGATGATGATGCTGATGATGCTCACATGACGATGACGATGATGCTGATGATGATGATGATGCTGGCGATCATGGCGATGATCCTGCTGCTGCTGATGATGATGCTGGTTCCCTGGGTGCTGCTGATGGTGCTGGTAATGGTGTTGTTGTTGTTGTTGTTGATGCTGCTGCTGTCGCTGATGAGGATGACTCAGAACAGGAAAAACACATATACACGAAGGGTTTTATTGGTTTTACGCCAGAAGGGGGCGTCGTCGACGGGATGTCTGGCACGGATGCGGGGATCGGGGTGGCATCGGTGTTTGGAGCTGGCGGTTTGCGTGGCAAGCGCGTTTAGCTGCTCGCATGTGTTCGGAACGCGTGACGGGTGGAAAGGCCGCTCACCAGCAACTGGCAGTCCTCTGCCCGCGGGCCAGAACAACTCGTCGCGCGCTCGCAACGGGGCGTGGGAAAAGGGGGTTGGGACGAGAGCGTAAGTCTCATTCCCAAGAAGTCCTTTCGATATGCAGCAAACAATTCTTTTCCTATTCATCTGCCGCGCGGCCAACCGAACGAACGAAAACTGTCTCGGCGCGCAGCGTTAGCTTCGCTTGCGCGCATCCTGGCTTCCTTCCGTTGGTTCCTTCGCTTCTATCGTGCCCTCCTCCTCCTTTTCCTCTTACCCTGCTTTGCTTTGTCCCGCCCCCCCTTCCTTTCCAGCTCGGAGCTGTCACCGCGCGCGAAAAGGCACCACCAAAAGGGCGTTGCTGTAATTCCTTGGTGTGCCACGAAGTCTCGCGTAATTCGTTGGTGTACGGTCTGGTTGCACTGCCAAAGCGCTGGGCACACAAAGGAGTTTCTTTTGTGTACGATCGTTTTCGCCGCCCCCACAAGAGCACGCTCGATTCCTTTGTGTAGAGCTTGCTTTCCCGCCTCGAGGAGCGCACGGGGCCTGGCGCTACAATCACAAGGCCGCGGCGCCTGGCAGTGCGATGCATCTGCGCTGGATACCACGCCCAATACGATCCTACGTGGATTTCGGCTCATCTGCCGAATTCGCGCTGGCAGCTGGCCAACCACATCGTCGGCCCTGCATGCCCGCGCGCACTACTGCGTTCTGCTGCCGCGACGCGTGCTGCTGTCAACGGGTGAACAAACTGACGTTGCTCGGTGGTTTGGCTGTGCCGAACCACCATGGAATGTTTGTTGGTAGCGGATCTTGGGATATTGTCGCCGCCGACAGTTTTGCCGCACCATACGTGCAAACTGCATCCTAGAGCACGGCCGTGCATCTACCCTGGTTCGGGTCGGTGGGGGTCCAGTGGCATGTGTGCACATGCGTTGCACCGTTGGTGGTACTAAAGCCCTTTGTGTGAAATTCTTTTTTTTCCGGGCTCCTAATGATGCTGGTGACGACGATTACGATTATGATGGTAAGGGGGAGGAGGACGATGATGAGGATGCTGAGTGTGAAGATGATGATGCTGACGCTGATGCTGATGCTGATGCTGATGCTGATGCTGGCGACGATGACGAGTACGACGATGGCGTTGACGACGGTGACGGTGACGATGACGATAACGATGTCAGTGCGGATGACGATGACGATAACGATGATGATGATGATGCTGATGATGAGGGGGGAAGGAGGAGGGGGAGGAGGAGGAGGAGGAGGAGGAGGAGGAGGAGGATAGGGGGGGAGGAGGTGGAGGAGGAGGAGGAGGAGGAGGAGGAGGAGGAGGGGAGGAGGAAAAAGAGGAGGAGGAGGAAGAGGAGGAGGAGGAAGAGGGAGGAGGGAGTAGGATGAAGAGGAGGAAAATGAGGAGGAGGAGGAGGAGTAGGAGGGAGGGAGGGATGGAGGGGGGGGATGGACGGGGGAAGGAAAGAAGGGGGAAGGAAGGAAAACGCGGGGCGTTGCTCATTCAACATAGAGACCCAGCACCACAGGATGGTTGGGACAACTTAAGACGTTTGAGTTCAGGCTGCCGGGACAGGGTGTGTTTTCTGACGGTCCCGCGGCCTGGTGAGGGCCCCTGGAGGCTGAAAGGAAGCCATAACCTCTTGACTTGGTTTTGACATATGTTCCGTCTTGTCTTGTTTTTGACATATGTTCCAGGACGCGAGAAGGTGGGGGCAGCCCCCTACCCCCTTCCCGTGCGCCTTCGAAGGGCGGGGGGGGTATGGGCGCGCACCCGAGACTACACCCCCACTCGGCCGAGTGTTGGGGGGAGCAGGGTCTGCTACAGGTGGGTGTTTCTCGTGACTCAAGGAGGGACGTTGGAGCCAGGCCATCGCAAACCTGGGTCAAGGGGGCGTGGATTCGCGACGGGTCCCGTTTCCATCGTGGGAACCGCGGAGCTCCGCCGCCGAGTGAGGCGGCACCAGCTGCAACTTGGGGAGGGCAACTCTCCCGATCCATGGAGAGTTGGCGACCTGGGTCGCCAAATCCACGGATCGCAAATCTTATGGCGGGCCTGTCCCTCTACAGGAGGAAAATTCCAAAATATCTAAAAAATAGTCGGGGGTCGATTTTTTGATTATTTCTCAGTATGTTTGGCATATTTGCTGGGTATTTTGAATTGTTCGTCCGAAGTCCCCCTGTAAGGGGACAGGCCCGACCTAATGCCAATCCATGTTCTTGCGCGCCCCCGAGCGTTGGAGGATTGGAGGAAAGGGACGGTCCCAGGGCCCGGGGGTCAGTATGGGTCAGTGCCCTTGCTGAGATCACCGCAGGGGCTGGTGCAGGGGATTTGGGGCTAGGTTTAGGTCGCGCCTGTCCCCTGCAGGGGGATCTTGGACGAAAGATCTAGAACACCAAAAACAGGCTCAACTGAAATTTCTAAAAAGAGAATCAAAACTAATAGCCAAACAAATACTCAAAACATCGTCCCCAGACTATTCTGGAATATGTTAGAACATTCCTCCTGTAGAGGCACGTGCCCGACTTAATGTTAGATGCGGATGCTCAGATGGGTTATATCTGGCCGAACCTAGCTGACAAGTAGGTTGCACGGTCCCAGGGCCCCGACCGAAACCGAGCAGAACCTGCCCGTCGTTCTTGCTTCTGCCCGCGACGCGCAGAGGTGTGTTGGGGGGGGGCGGTCGAAACGCTCAGTAAGGATGAGCGAATCCACAAGGTTCACCTCCCTTGCATCCTTCCCCTTCGGCCCATCCTCTGCCACTTTCGCAGTCTGCGCCCCGCTCGCAAAGTGTCGACCTTAGCTGCCTCGATGCGCCTGTTTTCAAACCCAACACGTATCGCATTCAAAACGTCCGTGTCAACACCTTGTGTGTTGGCTCAGCGTATTGGCCCGCGTTTGGGTGAACGTACCGCGCCATGCCTACGTGTTCCTCCGTATCAATTCGCTACGTGTTGCGTGCTTTGTATCGGGGCAGCTATGGTGTCGACATGGCCTTCCATCGGCGACGCCCTAACATACTAATACCATGTGTGCGTGGCCCCCCCCCAGGGGCGACGCGCGCACCGAGAACTCTTATAGTATATACGTGGTGGCGGGCGCTTTCTGGCCACCCCGCGCGGGACACGATAGACTACAACATTGGTATACTATCTGTGCGGGTCGGACGCGCGCCTCCAAGGAGAATATGCAGTACTAGTGTGTCTTTGCGCATCCCGTTCCAAGGCCCCCGCATCCTGACCGCGCGCCCCTTTCACACGGGCTCGCTGTCGTCCTCCAGGGGCTCAGAGCCCCCTCTCGCGCACCCTCCTCCTCCTCCTCCTCCTCCTCCTCCTCCTCCTTCCCCCTCCCCCCGGGGTTGCGCCGTAGAGGAGCGCGAGGACGGCTCCTCGGCGGCGTCCAGCCGCTCCAACAGCAGGGCCGCCGACGGAGCGAAGGCGGCCGCGCTATGCCGGCCTCGCTAGGCCGTCCATATGGGCTCGGCAGCAGCTCTCGCCGTCGGGGGGGCCATGTCCTTGAACGAAATATGCTTGCCCTGGGCCCCAGGTCGGAAACTGGAACATATACACTACCAGTGGCGGGCTGTTCTTCAATCCCAGGACTTCTTGAGGGTCGAGGACGACGCTGGGGTGGTGTGGTGTATACTTTTTTCCCCGATGTCCCGGAAAAAAAACAGCGAAACATGTATACACCAGGGTCCCGTATACACCAGGATCCGCTCTCCAGTGGAATTTCCAATGCAAGGCCGGAAGAAGCGTCGGTGTATAGAGTTCGATTCCCTACCAGGGCCTGCCCCAGGACCAGTTCTCCATCCTGAGTCGTTTTCTGGTGGCAGTCCCGGGGCCCGTGGAGGGCCTCGAGAGCCCGCAAACGGCGAAACGCCTCAGGGCCCGTTTCCCTGAGGACCCGTTTTCCCCACCCTAAAATTCATGGGATTTTTGTGCGCCTTCGGAATTCCGCCGCTAGAGTGCATTCGAGCGCGCCAGCGCCTGGTAATCGATGGGACAGCGCATATTCAGCGTCGACTCGCGAGAGCCAGCAAGTTGGCCCGGGATGCCTTCTTGAGTTGCCACAAAACATGGGGCTCATGTCCACGCCGGCAACGTAAGTCCTCGTCGTGCACTGAAATCTTCTCGTTGCGAGAGCTGTGGAGGGTTTTTGACAAGTTCCAGCCCCTGGGGGCCCTCACCCAGCCCGAGGACCGTCAAACATCGAGTCAGGATGAAAATCTGGTCCTGGGGAAGGGGTCCAGACTTTGGGGAGCCTTGTTGTGACAGCAATCATCACGGAGGATATTTGGGTGGAGCGACCGTCAGCCGCAGCCCTCGAGGTAGCATGAAGCAACAGGGTCCTGTGGGAGACAGGTCAGTTTGTTTTCACAGGTAGGGCCCCAGGACAGTCAAACACCGGCTCAGGACGAGAACCTGGTCCTGTGGGAAGGCCCCGGGGGTCCAGGGCGCGTTTCTCCCTGGGGACTCGTCTGCTTCATAGCAGATGCCCCCATCCGCCAGTTTGGAGGGGGTGTCCCCCCCGGGGTCCATTTCGATCTGCTCGATCCGATTCGATGTCGGTCCCGGCCAGCCCGCTCCGATCTGATTCCAATGCGGTCGGATCGAGGTATAAGATCGAGGCCGGTTCGGGAAGGGTGCCCTCGTGTTCTTCGCGTTTGTTGGATGCTCTTGTGCATCTTGGGGGATGATACCCTCGGTGAACTTATGGTTTGGGGTGTGGTGGCCAGCGGAGGGTCTCATGTTTTTGAGGGATGTTCTTCTGGCTAGGCTCGACTTTATTGCGGCGATCCGATGCTGCCCGACGCTTGCACGGCGCTGCTCCTGGCGCGGCCGATCCGATCCATTTCCGCTGCCGTGTCAGTGCCGCCCGATCTTACACAAATTTTGAGCAAGCCCGATTCGTTGATTCGATGCTAGGAGGGAGGAGGGGGTAAGGAGGGAGAGAGGCAGGGAGGGAGGGAGGGTGGGATGAAGAGATGAGGAGTTGGAGGGGGATGATGATGATGATGATGATGATGATGATGATGATGATGATGATGATGCTGATGATGATGATGGTGATGATGATGGTGGTGATGTTGATGATGATGTTGATGATGATGATGATGAATCTGATGCTGATGATGATGATGCTGATGATGATGATGATAATTATGATGATGACGATGATGATGATGATGGATGATGATGATGATGCTGATGATGATGATGATGATGATGATGATGATGATGATGATGATGATGATGATGATGATGATGAGGAGGAGGAGGAGGAGTGAGGAGGAGGAGGAGGAGGAATTCAGTTCAGTTTGCCCTTGGAAGTGGTCACCTCACTATCAGGGCGGTGCAGTGAACGCTTCTGGGCGGGAGGAGGAGGAGGAGGAGGAGGAGGAGGTGGAGGAGGAGGATGAGAAGGAGGAGGGGAGGAGGAGGAGGAGGAGGCGGAGTCGGAGGAGGAGGAGGAGGGTGAGAAGAAGCAGGAGGAGGTGGAGGAGGAGGAGGAGGAGGAGGAGGAGAGAGGAGGAGGAGGAGGAGGAGGAGGAGGAGGAGGAGCGGAGGAGGAGGAGGAGGAGGAGGAGGAGGAGGAGGAGAGAGGCAGAGGAGGAAGGAGGAGGAGAGGACCCTCAGATCCAGGCGAGGCGCCAAGCATCGCGGCTTCCGTCGTTGCCGTATCTTTCGACCTCTGGGGGCCGCGCCCCGGCACAGGGACCGTCGAGAGACGAAGTGGTGAGGAGGGAGGAAGGGGGGAGCAGGGAGGGGAAGGAGGCGGTTTCCCCATTCGATGCTGCCTGATCCCTGGTCCTCCTCCCTGGTCCACCTCCTCCTCCTCCTCCTCCGCCTCCTCCTCCCTGGTCCTCCTCCTCCCTGGTCCTCCTCCTCCCTGGTCCTCCTCCTCCTTGGCTCTCCTCCTCCCTGGTCGTCCGCCTACCTGGTCCTCCTCCTTCTCCTCCCAGGTCCTCCCTGGTACTCTGCCTTTCCTCCTTCTTCCTGGTCCTACCTGTCCTCCCTGGTCCTCCTTGGTCCTCCTCCTCCTCCTCCCTGGTATTCCCTGGTCCTCCTCGTCCTCCTCTTCCTCCTCCTCCTCCTTCTCCTCTTCCTCCTCCTCCACTCCTTTACCTTGCAAGTAGTTCTTCCTTGTCGCACCCCGAGACTGGTCAAAAAGGGCCCGAGCGTTCCGCCTGAGACGTTTTCACCATTTGTGATCGGGAAGCTTACACTTTGCAACAGCTTCACGGATGGAGGGCGGGCCGCTTTGAACATGTGGCTGTCGCCCTAGCGTTGCGCACATGTGCCTTCAAATGTTGCACGAGCTTCATGGATGGAGGGCGGTTCTTTTTCAAAGTGTGGCTCTCGTTCAGCCTGTCAGGGCGCAACAGTTACGTTGATTCGCGGTGCTGAAGTCCCAGGAATGCTCTTAACCCTAAGCAGGTGTGTAGTACAGCCGGGCCGAGGTATAAGATCGAGGTCGGTTCGGGGAGGGTACCCTCTGGTTCTCCGTGTTTGTTCGATGTTCTCGTGCATCCCGGGGGGGTCCCTTGGATGTTCTGTTTGTTCTGGCCGACGGAGGGCCCCATATTCTTGAGGGATGCTCGTCTGGCCTATAGTTCCGACTGTCCTTTGGTATGTCCCCGTGCGCCCCCGCGCGTTGCCCCTCACACCAGCGGGGGCGCCGAGGGGGGGCATGCGCATGCCCCCCCCGCGCGCGGGCCGCTCCCGGCGCGAGAAACGCGAACAGCACCGCCAGAGGCGGCCGGCAGGCCCCGGCACCAGCGCGCGGGGGCAGAGGTCGGGCATGGAGCTCGCCGGAGCTCGCCGCGCAGCAGCGCCGGGGCAGATGTTCGGAGGCGACGATGGGGCCCAGGGGCGAATAGCCCAGGGGGGAGCAATACACGTACCCAGGGGTGCCGAGGATCGATGTCTTCGGCAAGGCACCTGGGCGAATGCGTACAGTGCCCGCCCCTGGGCTATTCGCCCTTATCGTCGCCGCCGAGATGTCAGGCACTGAGCTCGCCAGAGCTCGGGCTATGGGCGCCGCGACAGGGGAGTTGTTTTTCCCCCACCATCCTGTGGTGTTGGGTCCTAGTTCTGAAGAGACAGCGCCCCGCGTCCCACCCACTCACTCACTCACTCACCCACTCCTTCTCCTCCTCCTCCTCCTCCTCCTCCTCCTCCTCCCCCTCCTCCCTCCTCCCCCACCTCCCTCCATCATCATCATCATCATCATCATCATCATCATCATCATCATCATCATCATCATCATCATCATCATCATTATCATCATCATCATCTTCATCATCATCATCATCATCATCATCATCATCATCATCATCATCATCATCATCATCATCATCACCACCACCATCATCATCATCATCATCATCAACCTCTGCTTCATAGTCATCCTGAGCATCCGCGCTGCCAGCCCGGCTCCATTTTGGAACACCCCTCACACGTTCCGTGGCCCCATAGGGAGCTCCACCGAAGGCCCCAGAGGGAAAGTTCGAATGACGGTTTTCACACGTCTCGTGGCCCCATATGGAGCTCCACCTAAGGCCCCAGAGGGAAATGTTGCATGGCGGCCTCGCCCCATTTCGACACACCTCTCACAAGTTTCGTGGCCCCATAGGGAGCTCCACCTAAGGCCCCAGAGGGAAAGGCTGCATGGCGGCCTCGCTTCATTTCGGCACACCCCTCACGCGTTTCGCGGCCCCATAGGGAGCTCCACCTAAGGCCCCAGAGGGAAAGGTTGTATGGCGGCCTCGCCCCATTTCGGCACACCTCTCACAAGCTTCGTGGCCCCATAGGGAGCTCCACCTAAGGCCCCAGAGGGAAAGGCTGCATGGCGGCCTCGCTTCATTGCGGCACACCCCTCATTCGTTTCGTGGCCCCATAGGGAGCTCCACCCAAGGCCCCAGAGGGAAAGGTTGTATGGCGGCCTCGTCCCATTTCGGCACACCTCTCACACGTTTCGTGGCCCCATAGGGAGCTCCACCTGAGGCCCCAGAGGGAAAGGTTGCATGACGGCCCCGGCCCATTGCGGCACACCCCTCACACGTTTCGTGGCCCCATAGGGAGCTCCACCTAAGGCCCCAGTGGGAAAGTTCACATGGCGGCCTCTCCCCATTTCGGCACAACCCTCACACGTGCCGTGGCCCCATAAGGAGCTCCACCTAAGGCCCCAGAGGGAAAGTTCGCATGGCGGTCCCGCCCCATTTCGGCACACCCCTCACACGCTTCGTGGCTCCATAAGGAGCTCGAGCTAATGCCCAACGTGGCCCCATAGGGGGCCCCACCGAAGGCGCCAGTAGCAGGGTTCGCATGGTGGCCCCGGCCCATTTTGGCGCATCCCTCACACGGCTCGTGGCCCCGTGGGGAGCTCCCTCGAAGGCGCCAGTGGCAGGGTTCGCATGGCGGCCTCTCCCCATTTCGGCACAACCCTCACATGTTTCGTGGCCCCATAGGGGGCCCCACCTAAGGCCCCAGTCGCAGGGTTCGTATGGCAGCCCCGCCCCATCTCGGCGCACCCTTTACGAGGATCGTTGCCCCACAGGGAGCTCCACCGAAGGCGCCAGTGGCAGGGTTTGCATGGCGGCCCCGCCCCATGTCGGCGCACCCCTCACACGGTTCTTGGTCTCATAGGGCGCTGCACCGAGGGTGCCAGTGGTAGGGTTCGCATGGCGGCCCCGCCCCATGTCGGCGCACCCCTCACGAGGATCGGAGTAATCACTTTTTGTCGGAGCTCCGGGACCCGAAGGCGGACCCAGGGGGCCGAGATCGATGTCCAGAGGCGAGCCCACACAGCGTTTGAGCGAGCCCAGACCTAGCCGGAAACTCCCTCCAGCCACCTTCTGCCTCCCGACTCCGTCTCTATTGTCTTGTCTTTCCCTCCTCCTCCTCCTCCTGCGATCTCCCGCCCCATTCTTTCTCCTGCTTCCTCTCACCTCTTCCCCCCCGTGCTCAATTTCTTGGAGGTCGCACGGCTACTGGTGATGGCGAGGCAGTTCCGGTCAGGTTGAGGGGGGTCAGGATGAGGAGGATTATGATGATGACCGTACGAGGATGAGGAGGGGGAGGATGAAGATCGGGGGGTGAGCAGACCGCGATCCCGCCCCCAGAGATCTCCTTTTTTTTCGGGGGCCTCTCGGGAGCTTCCTGAAGCCTCCAGGGCCGCGTTCCCGCCCACAGGTGGTCAGGCAAACGGGAGAGAATCTCATCCTCATCCTTGTCGTTCGTGTCCTCACCCTTTTCTTTGGGCGCGACATCATTGTCAATGCTTATTGAGTCCACTTCGCACTGAAGCCATCAGTTGTTGTGAGTCCGAATCACCGCGGCGGTGGCCTGGCCCCACCAGGTGCCTAGGATTTTTTAGCGACGGGTGTCTTCAGGGCCGCTTTTTTTGGGAACGGACCCATCAAGACATGGACATTGATGTTCGTCCTCGTCGTCGTCGTAGTCGTCCGGAGTTTCACCAGGCGTAGCCGTGCGTGTCGTGCTCGTATTCATGCAAATATCTTCACTCGCGCGCAGAATCATTCATACCAAGACTCACTCGCGCTCAGAGTCGCCAGCAATCAGCCTCCAGTAATTCGACATTTCGTCTTCGTTCGTCTTGTGTACACCGCCACACAAGTCGGCACACCCCTCATACGATTCGTGGCCCCATGGGAATCGCCACCGACGAAGATACTCACAATTGCGGTATTCAGAAGTAGTTACAGTTTAGTATCGAATTGCCTTGAAGGTGCTACAAGGACAGAGCTATGGCAAAAAGTTGCTCGGCTGCTCTGTGCTACTTTGTCCTTCATAACTAATTGCACGTTCAATATCGCATTGTTTTGAAGGTGTTATAAGGACAACTATCGCCAATGTTCTGCTGGACCGTATCGCATTTTTTCAAAAAGGTGTTTTCGGAACAGAACTACCGCGATTATTGTTGCTAGGCTGCTCTGTGCTACTTGGTCCTTCAGACGACTATTGCATTTTTCTGCTAGGCTGTTCTGTGCTACTTTCTTTATCCTTCAGAAGTAGTTGCACGTTTGGTGCCGCATTGCTTTGAGGGTGTTATACGGACAACCATCGCAAATGTTCTGCTAGGCCGCTTAGCGGTGGATGAACATGCGCGCCCAGCTGGACGCGGACGTCCTGAAGAAGCCCCTCTTCCTTGTACAGGCACCCGACAGGATTGCCCCGACGATGAACAGGAAGGACACCGCCAAGATGATGAACTGCGCCAGCCCCGAAGAACACCAGTGGCATGCGCGGACTCCCCCCAGTGCACGTGGGCATGCGGCCTCGTGAAGGATGCCGAGGGACAGATCGCGCACGTCGTCGTGGACCCGCGGGACGCGGCCATGGCGGAGCAAACTGAGAGAGACGGGGGGAAGAGGATCTATCTGCAGCATTTGCCGCTGGGGTTCCGGGCGCGCATGGAGAATTACACGGGCGAGCCCTTCGTGGGCGACCTGGAGCGCCACGACGACAGCCTCGAGTTCACGGGCCCGCTGGTGTTCATCGAGCCTCACACGTCGGGGCCGATCTCTTTCCGCACCTCCAAGGTCACCCGCACCGGCTTCCCGTTCTCGCATGGCAGGACCATCGCCACGGCGGCGTGCCAGGGGCGCGCCGTGCGAGAAGGCGACTGGGCGAGGGAGCGGCGTTCGCGGGCAGTCCGCGGTCGCGCTGCCTGGGCGCGAGCAGTCTCCCGCGCCCCCGCGGTAATGTGGATTCGCCTTGGGCCGTCGGCTTCCTGGCGCGCTGCTCGCTCGGCCGACGTCGCCCAGGCGTGATCCTGGACTGCGGCCGCCACGAGGTCGGGAACGGCAGGAAGGAGGGCGACAAGTGGTGGCTGGAGCTCTACGCGCGGCTCTCGCGCGCCCCGCGCCACGAAGACCTCTTGCTCATGAGGGCGCCGCGCATCGAGTTTTTCCTCGCCGGGCCGCTGGAGGGCTTGCGGAATCTGCTGGGGCAGTTTGCGGCGCGCGCGAAGCGTTGCAGGAGGGAGGCCGCGGCCCTTGCCAAGGAGTTGGGCTTCGCCGAGTTTATCCGCGAGGCCTGAACTGAGGGGCGCCCCGCCCGAGCCGCGCCTTCTCTCGACTGTCCATCGAGTTGGTTGGCCTCGCGCCGCGGACGACCAGCGCGCGTCGCTGGGGCCCGCTCGGGGCGACCGGCGCGCGTCGCGAGAACTCCGATCGGCGTTCTGCCCAGCGCCTCGCTCGCTCGGCGTCGCTCTGACGAGCGGCCGGAGCCGTGCCGCTGTCGGCCAGGCAGCTAGCCCGCTGCGCTCCGCGAGGCGGACGACCCGCGCGCGTCGCTGGGACCCCTTCGGGGCGACCTGCGCGCGTCGCAGGGACTCCGCGCTGCGCTGCGCCCGCAGCCTCGGACTGTGGAGCGCGCGGACAAAGAGGGGGGACAAGAAGAGGAGGAAGCGGGCACGATTCTCGTGAGGGGCTGCCGACGTGGGAGTCGCGGCGCGCGGGCGCTGCCGTCGGGGTTCCCGGGGAAGCTCCCTGCGGCGGCCACGCTCAGTGTCGCGAGTGCTCAGAGCCAGGCGTGCCTGGATCGTTCGCATTCGTATACATCCACACCAGGCGTAGCCGCGCTCGCATTCATGCTAGTTAATATCTTCATTCGCACACCGCCTCATTCTCAGTCAGACTCATTCGCGCTCAGACTCACCAGCGCCCACTTTTTCGCAATTCGACTTATCGTCTTCGGTCGTGTTGTGTACCCCGCCGCACAGTTCCGCGCACTCTCATAGGGTTCGTGGCCCCACAGGGGGCGCCACCGAAGAAAACATTCACAATTGCGGTACTCACCGCTGCATATGGTTGGGTCCTTCGCCAGGCTGGTTCTTCTGTTCGGGGGACGGACGCCGCCGACCCGCCGAACCCCCCGGGAGGGAGCGGGGAGGAGTCCGCGGTTGAGGCGTCCTGGGCTTCTCTATGGGCACCCTCGGGGGTCTCAGCGTGGGCCGCGTTCCGGGGGCGTGTTTTTTTTTGTTTTTTTTTGTGTGTTGTGTGTGTATGTGTATGTGTATGTGTATGTGTATGTGTATGTGTGTGTGTGTGTGTGTGTGTGTGTGTGTGTGTGTGTGTGTGTGTGTGGGGGGGGGGTGGGGGGCGGCGCGGGAGCAAAGACGTCGGGCTTGTCAGCTCGATGGGGCGTGGCTGGCCGCCGCGACAGGGGAGGTTTTCTCTCTCCGTGGCGAGGCGTTCTGGCTTGCCTGTAGGCCCACCAAAGAGTGTTCTAAGAACATGATGGTGGTTATCACGACACGTTGTGAGAGCATTTCTGGTTGAGGCCGTCTTGTTTTAACCCATCGTCTCCATGGTCTCGTTCTGAGAAAACACACCGTCAAATAACTCGGTTCGTGTTATGATTAGACTGTTGGAGTCTTGAGAATATTGCGTGGTAGGTTTATAGGAATGCCGGGCCGTCGGTCCTGCTCAAAATCCCGGGCGGTATCGGGCGCTACCAGGTCGAGCTGGTAGAAACGGAAGCGGGCGTCCGCCAGAGCGCCGGCTCCTGCAAACTCCTGCCACGCCAGGGTTGCACCGGCTGGGTTTAGCGCGCATGGTCCTGCAGGACCCTGGAGGATCCCGCATGCTTCTGCCAAGCCTGACAATGACCTGGGTTTGCTCCGACCCGGGTCAGTCGAGGCCTGACGTGGGGGGGGAGCGGGGGGGGGCAGTAACGTCACGTTTCGCGCCGGCGGCGCCGTTTGGAAATGTCTCAGCCTAACTACAGACAGCTCGGAGGTCAGCACGGATTTTGACGTTACTTGGGGGGGAGGGGGCGGGTGGGATTGGCAACGGCTTTTTTTGAATAAATCTACAAGACGCTTCCCACTTTGGCACACATGGTACAATCGCCAGGTTGGGATACGACAGCCGCAACAAGTGAGTAGGCTTAATTCGCCCCCCCGGCAGCTCCTTCGCGGAGCCATGCGCTTGCGTCCGTCAGTCCGTCCGTCGGCTTTGCCGCCGCTTTGTTGACGGCCGGGGCGCGATTTGTGACGGTCCAGTTTCCGTGAGATGCTTCTTGCAGCGGGAGTTCGCGCCAAATCTCAGATTAACCCCGCCATTTTTTGGACGGGCCCGTCGGGCAGAGTCGAGTCCCCCCCATTTCGAGTCGCACGTTCCCTGAGATCCCGGCGCCGCATCCCGTTCGCACGGCGACCTCGCCCTGCTCCAGGCCTCCGGACCCTCCTGGATCGACCTCTGGCTCGAGAAGCGCCCGGGGAAGGGGGTGGCGAGGCCTGCCTGGCCAGGGTAATTACTCTGCGATGCTGCCTTTCCCTCGCGGCCTCGGATCTCGGGGCCTCGCTCCTGCACCAGGGCCGCTCCCTGCGTGCCGCCGACGCGTGGGCGGCCCCCCCCCCCGCGGCGGGGAGGCGCCGAGCCCCGCCGGGGCCCTGCTGTGCAGGCACTACGAGACGCTGCGCCCGGTGCTCGCTGCTCGCGTCG